TTTTTAAATATGAGCTTGGGGATTTAGTTTAACAGCCCAGTGTTCTGAAGAAAATAAAAAGACAAAAAAAATATATGTGTAGACATTTGCATACTTACGTGTATGTATGTATGCTTACATGTTGGGGAACACACAGGCACATGTTGTGAATGTGTAAGTGGAAGCCAGAGATCAATTGGTCACCCACCTTGCTGTTTTATTTTTTTAAGTGAATAAGTGTGTGTGTGTGTGTGTGTGTGTGTGTGTGTGTGTGTGTGTGTAGACCAGAGAGGTCAATATAAGGTGTCTTCCTCAGTCACCCTCTACCCTGCTTTTTCTGAGACAGGGTTTCACAACTAGACATGGAAGCAGAAGCAGGCTGATCTCTGAATTCTAGGCCAGCCTGGTCTACATAATGAATTCCAGGACAGCCAGGCCTGCTACGTAGAGAAATCCTGTCTCAGCAGAAAAGAAAAGAGGATTTCACACTGACCCTGTACCTCACTGACTAGGCTGGGCTGGGCAGCCAGCAAGCTCTAGGGATCTCTTTGCCTTTGCCTCCACAGCACTGGGGTCACACTCAGACAGCCCTGTGCCTGGTCCTTTATATGGGTGCTAGGGATTGAACTCTGTAAGCCAAGTAAGCCGTCTCAGCAGCCCCCGCCTTCTTTAGAGGGCCTCTCCATCAGGAGAGACTGGCTCTTGGCCTCCCTAGCACTGGAATTACAAGTGACAGCCGTCACAGCCTGGCCTTTTGATGTGGGTGCTGGGGACCTAACTCAGGTCCTCATATTTGCACAGTGCACTTTCCTGACTACAGCTTTCTTCATCCTCATTTAATAGACAAGGAAACTGAGGTTCTGATGACTCAAATTAATGAAAGTACCTGGTTAGTTTTTAGTAGAAAAGGATTCCACTCCGGCTCTGTGTGTCTCTGGGAGCCTAGGCTCCAGGTGTTGGCAATCTCCTTCCAGTCTGTCCCTATACCCGTCATCGTCATCGCTGTCTTCACTGTATTTGGCCTATGGTTAGGAATCTTGCAGGAATGGCCTGAGCTGGGCTCCTTCTGCCTGGATCCCTGTCCCTAGCCTGAAGATTAAATCTTGTTGAAAATAGAAGATTAAATCTTGTTGAAAATAAACTGTTCCAATATATACTCAATAACCCTTCCTGTGTGCTGTGCCTCTAAACAACCTGCAAAGCCAGCAGCAGAGGAAGGAACCAGCTTGTGACTTATCTGTCCTTCAGTGCTCCTCCAGAGGAAGCCCTTCCCAGAGCCTGCCTAGCACCGGCCCCAGCACATCACAGGAGGCCAAGTCTTTGTCCCTACTCAGATAAACAAACAAAGCGTCTGAGACATGTGTAAATGCAGAAGGTCCAGGAGCCATGCCCCACCCACAGGTAGGCTTGGCCTCCCTCCCAGGGTCAGCAGCAGTAGTCTAGGGTTGGGGAGGTCAGTTAGGCAGAAGGGCTAAGTGCATTCCCATCTGCAAATGGCTAACTCAAGACTCTGGGGAAGCCTGCCGCCCTGCCATTGGGGCCATGAACTTCTTTCTTTGTCTCTTCCCACCCAGTACATATATCAGCTTGGTCCCTGTGGGTCACCTCACACGGGAGCAGCATTCAGTGATGGCCTCCATATGGATATCCCCTGAAGTCTTGTGACTTAGCCTCCTCTTCAGTCCATGCTCACATGGGACTCCCTTGGTCCTGCAGACCTTCCATTCCTCCTTCTTTTCCCTCCCATACAGTCAAATGAGAGACACAGGAAGAAGGCCAGCAAGTGTGCAAAATGGGAGCCAAGATGGGGAAGTTTATTCTCTGAGAATCATCTAAACACATGGGAGAGTATTTTTAGCCCATGGCTCCTACCAGGATGCCAAACCTAAACACAAGGAAGGAGAGGTGGCCCCTTGGGGATAGAAGTAGCCACTGGAAATAGGGTGGGAAAAGGTACAGCAGACCCCACCCTGTCCCTCAGAGTGGTCTGTCTGCCTGGATGGTTTTGATAAAGAAAGTTGGCTATGGAAGTTGCAGAGTGACCTTGCCTCTGCTGTATTGCAGTTCCCTTATCCATGCAATGGAAGAAGACCTCACTCACAAAATGGTAGAGAGGCCCATAGGCAGCACATAGTAGGCATTCAATAAATGTGTTTCCTAGTCTGTGCTGAGAATCTTCCAGAAATGGGCCAATGGACCTCAGAGAAGTCTTTTCCCAGGCTTGGTATCTGCAGGGAAGCACACATGTGCAAGTGTGTGTGTGTATGTGTGTGTGTGTGTATGTGTGTGTGTGTGTATGTGTGTCTATGTGTGTCTATGTGTGTCTATGTGTATATATGTGTATGTATGTGTGTGTGTATGTATGTGTGTATATGTGTGTGTGTATGTGTGTGTGTATGTGAATGTGTGTATCCAATGCAACCAGCTATGGAGATGAATAAAAGAGAAAGGAAGTCAGGATGGGGAGGCAGACAAACTAGACCTCCCTTGTAAATAAAAAACAATTGGTAGGCCTATTGCCCATGGAGAGAACTACCTTATGAGCCAGGCAGGCTGGGTATAAAGACAACTTAGGCCTGGCAGTGGTGGCGCACGCCTTTAATCCCAGCACTTGGGAGGCAGAGGCAGGTGGATTTCTGAGTTCAGGGTCAGCCTGGTCTACAGAGTGAGTTCCAGGACAGCCAGGGCTACACAGAGAAACCCTGTCTCAAAAACAAAACAAAACAAAACAAAAAAAAAGACAACTTAGGCACCTTCTCCAGGTGGAGGTCAGCACAGAACCAATGAGTTTACTCAGAAGAGGAAGCTCTTCAATGACGCAGACTGACAGAAATGTCCCTCAACTCTTTGTGTGGGGCCATAGTCAAGAGAGCAAACTGCCCACCCATGGTGGCAGGCCACTGAATAGCTTTGCTAGGAGTACCTCCAGGACACGCAGAGCTGCTCTGAGGTGTGCAGAAACACTTCCCCACTCGGCTTTCACCGGGTTTACTATGGAGCCAACCAGGGCAGGAGACAATCCTCCGCCTTCTACCTAGGGTGGAAAAGCCAGACCTCCTCTGGCCCACTTACAGGGAGATAGAGCTTCCTGGTTCTGCTGCTGCATTATTCACTGAAGGCCACATGGAGGTCAGGGGTATAGGGGAGGGAAATGGGTGTGGGGGAGAGGGTGTGATGAAGAGAAAGGCGAGAGGAGGGGGAAGTTGTCCAGAGCAGGAATGGCTGTACTGACCTCAGAGTTCCGACTCTGGGGAGGAGACAACTGAGATCCCCTGCAGGCATAGTGGGTACTAAAGGAGAATGGGTTTGGACCACATACCCCCTGCTGACACAGGCTGCCTGCTGTTACCATGACTACACAATACCAACACCTCCATCTCAGCTGCAAGGTCATTGGTGAAGCTGGAAGGTACTTGTTATTGGTTACAAATAGAAAAGGGTAATTATGCGGGGGTGGGGGGTGGGGGGGTGGCGCACACCTTTAATCCCAGCACTTGGGAGGCAGAGGCAGGCGGATTTCTGAGTTCGAGAGTTCAAGGCTAGCCTGGTCTACAGAGTGAGTTCCAGGACAGCCAGGGCTACACAGAGAAACCCTGTCTCAAAAAACCAAAAAAAAAAAAAAAA